GAGGAGTTTTCTGTCAGCCAGGAGTTTATATGTACTAGCCACAGAGAAATTGCCCTTAGAATCAGGACCCCAGAACAGCCTGTCAGCCCTTGTTGGATTGAGGGATCTGATGTTGAGGATTGCTTCACTGTCAGCTGCATTAAATACCTGTTTGACCAACCAAGAATTTCACTGACCATCTGAGAGGAACAAATCCTTAACCCAAACTAAATGGCTCCTGGCAATCTCTAACAGAGATGGAGCAGGTCTTGCAAGGTTAGGAACCCAGTTTGGATCTTCTATTCTGGTAGCACAACCATTCCTTATCTCAGTCGTCAGGCAGCTAGAAAATATAGGCATCACTGTTAACCAGCTGTTCCACAACCAAAATGCTTTCTGAGTTCTCTGTGCATTTAACATTGATCCCTCAGGAAAATATCTGTCCTTTAGGATCTGGCTGACCAAGAGTTCAGGGTTTGTGGCCACTCTCCAAAGCTGTTTACAGATTAGGGCTTCATTAAAGAGCTTTATGTCATGAAAACCAAGTCCTCCATCTGTTTTAAGAAGTGTCACCTTGTCCCACTTTTTCCAGAAAATACCTGTGCTTAAGTTATCTCCTGATTTCCACCAGAACTGAGCACATAATTTAGAGATTTCATGACAGACAGAGATGGGAAACTTGAAACAGGACATTGTAAATATGGGAAGAGCTTGGAGTACTGATTTGAGAAGCACCTCCTTACCTGCAGGTGAGAGGAGCTTTGACTTCCAATTCATCAGTTTGTTCTTGATGGCTGTCAGTAAGTACTCAAAGACTTCCTTTTTGGAGCGGCCAATACCCAAGGGAAGCCCAAGATACCTTGTTGACCTATGTGGTACAATGCCATGAAGTTCCCTGCAGATACTGTCCTTGAGGTGCTGAGGTGTGTTCTTGCTAAAGAATATTGCAGATTTCTCTAAGTTGACCCTTTGTCCAGTGAAGAGTCTATACTTCTCCAAAATAGACATGAGCTGCCTTGCTTGGTCCACTCCTGCTTTGAGGAAAAACAGTGAGTCATCAGCAAATAGAAGGTGGGAGAGGGCTGGCCCATTCTTGGATAATTTCATTCCATGGAGAGAACCCTGAGCTTGTGAGTTCTGGACTAAGGCTGATAATAACTGCCACAATTATGAACAAATAGAGGGATAGTGGGTCCCCCTGCCTAATGCCACGAGATGGAGTGATGTAGCCACTCACCTTCCCATTGACCTTAAAAGAAATGGAGGTAGATGAGATGCAGACCAAAATTAACTTCACAAAATCAGGGTGGAAGCCCATCTTTAACATTATCCTCTGCACAATCTTTCACTCTACTCGGTCAAAGGCTTTCATTAAGTCGAGCTTGAGGGCCATGAAGAAATTCCTGCCTGTTGAGTGCCTATTGAGAAAGTGGAAAGCTTCCTGAGCAATAATCACATTATCAGTGAGCTGTCTCCCCTTGACAAAAGCTGATTGATGAATACTGATGCAGTAGTCCAAACAAAGCATTAGTCTCTGAGCCAGATTTTAGAGAGAGTTTTGTAGATTACACAGCATAAACTGAAAGGCCTGAACTGCCCCAAAGTTTCAGGATTGGCCACCTTAGGAATGAGAGACAAGATAGTGTGATTCCAGTACCTTAGCAAACTACCAGGGTGAAAAAAACTTAAGAAAGCCTCCATGACATCAGCCTTGATGAGAGGCCAGAATTTTTGATAAAATAATGCACTCATGCCATCTTCACCTGGAGATTTTTCTGGATTAAGAGAGAATGAAGCAGATTTTACCTCTTCCTCTGTGACTGGTTTCAGGAGTGTTTGGTTTATATCTTCAAAGATGGTTTGTGGTATGAAGTGTAGGATAGACTCCCCATCCCAATTGCTTTCAGATGTAAAGAGAGTAGTGTAAAAGTCTGATATATGCTCCTTTATGTCGGTTTGATTTGTTAGCTCAGTGCCACTGGGAGTAAGGAGTCTTGAGATTGCATTCTGCTTTTTTTTTTTTCTGCAGAGTGTATGCATGGAAGAACTTGGTGTTTCCATCCCCTTCCTTAAGCCACTTGAGTCTGGACTTCTGTTTCCAATGTTGTTCCTAAAAAATGTGGGCCTTGTTAAGGGCAGCCCTTGTCTGATCCCAATGATCCCAATAGTCAGCTGATTTGGCCTCCCTCAATTGTTCCAGCTTCTTAGTTAGGATGTCAATGTTCTGTTGGTTCTGAGTTTTGAGCTTAGCACTCCATATGAGAATGGCCAATCTTGTGAGTTTCACCTTTTCTTTGAGTTTAAAGAAAGGGGTGCCTTTAGTGGGTGTTGCCAAGTAGATTCTACTGTTTCAGAAAATCCATCCATCCCTATCCACCTTTTGTCAAAGTGAAAACGAGCTTGTCTCCTCAGCTGAGGTTGTCCCATGTTTAATAATAAGAGAGAGTGGTCAGATGAGCTCCTGATCTTGCTTGTGATGACAGCATTGGGATAAGTTTGGGACCAGTCCAGTGATGCAAATGCCCGGTCCAACTTTTCTTCAACCATGCCTTCTTCTGATCTGAGGTTGCACCAGGTATATTGGTAGCCTTGCATTTTCAGCTCCTCCATTTCCATGTTATTTATAAAAGTTATTCCATAAGGCTTCTGTCTTTTCTTGGTATGCCACCACATTTCTCCTCTTTGGTGCACAGGTCATTACAATCCCCAATGGCAAACCATCTGTGTCCCCAGTTTTCTTTTTTCTAGCTCTAGTTCAGCCCATTGTTCCATTCTTCTTTGCTTACAAGTGCTCATATAAACAAAAATACCCCACTGGGGGTCTGCAGAATCAAGAGTAAATTCAACTGCAATATAGTAAGACTTTTTCTGAAATTGTAAGATAGTAATATTTGAGTCCCAAAAAAGAAGTAAACCACCACTTAAGCCAACAGGATCCACAGAGATCATTCTATCATCAAAACCCAATTTTCTAACAACAGATTTTACAAAGGCACTAGATTTTTTTTGTTTTTGAAAGGAAGAAAAAACCTGGGTGGTGAGTCCTAATTGACTCTCTGATTTGGGAAATTGTAGAGGGCCCACCCTGCCCTTTACAATTCCACACCGCAGCTAGCATTGAGAATTTGGGTGCCATTTGAGGCTGGCATCCCCCACCTGCTCCACTGTCATTTTCAGTTTTTTGCCTGAGACTGTAGCTTCTTTGACCTCTTCCTTTTCTTGATGATTTCTGATGGTTCAATTCTGAGTCTTTTTTGGCCATGGTGTTCTAACAGCATTATCTCATGATCATTACTCCTCTGAAGTCTGCCCTCCCTACTAAGAGCTCTCTTCTAGGTCTTTTGTTTGGTGAAAGTAGGGAAATTGTTTGTGATGCTCTGGCTTTTAATGGTGATTGACATGACTGGGTCTTGGATTGCCAATTCAATTTCCATCATCTTGTTATCTGTGGGGTGAGAAATAGTTTCCAGTTCCACTGAGATTTTTTTATCTGGTTTTGGAGGCTTTGAGCTAGAAGATGGTGTCTGTGAAGCAGGGTTTTCAGGAACTGAGTTGGAAGCTACCATATCTGGCGATATGTCTGCTGAGGGTTGGTCCTGGAATTTAACTATTTGCTACCCTCCTTCATGATGAGTAGTCTGAACAGGTGCTTCTGGAGTTTGGTAAGAGGTTGGTGATGACCTTGATCCTGAGTTACTTATTTCAATCTATGACTGTCCCTCCACCGCCTTCATCCATTCCCCGAATTGCCCTTCTTTCAGTGACTTTGATTTGATATCTGCCATCCTCTTGCTACAACCCCTGTCCAAATGGCCGATGAACCCACAGTAGTGACAGAGGTTTAACAGCTTCTCATATCTAAAACCCACAGTAACTAGCTCATTCTCCAGCCTTATACTCGTACATCTGGGCAGAGATTCATTTAGGTCTAAGGATACCAATAACTTTATAATCCTTCCTCCATGGTTTCCTGAGCTAACCATAACCACATTATGGACTTCGTTGAACACTTTGCCAATTTTGAGACCTACCTCTGTACTTAGCCAATCTAGAGGTAGATTAAACACCTGAACCCATATGTTGATTTCCTGGAATGCTAAATGCTTACTGGAAAGTCCTCTTTCCCACTCCTTTAAAATCAGATATTGGTTTTCAAAGCTCCAGCTGGTACCATTGGCACCCTTTTTCATATCATCTTTGCTCTGAAAAATGAACTGAAAAAAATTGTGCCCCAATTCTTTCACCTCCATTTGCTGTTGCAGCCTCCAGATGTGGCTCATTGTTCTCTTAATTCCTATCCAGCTAGCCTTGCGGTCCCCTACCACCTTTCCAAAGAGGCTGTGATGGCACTCGTCGGCGCTCACTTTAATGTCTTCATTTGCTATGTCAATCACCGAGCTTTCTTTGTCGGATAAGGAAAAGCTCTTCATTATATTTGCAAGGTCTTCATCCTGCCCCACACATTTTGATTCAGCCATGACTCTAATCCCGCTGGTATTGGAAAAACAAAATAGAGAATACTCTGAACACAGAGAGATGTGAGGGTAGTAACAGAGAGATTATGATAATCTTGGTGAAAGAAAGATCAAATTGAAGAAAAAGAGAAGAGAAAAGAAAAACTGCTCCCAAAGGAAGAATCGTAACCCTCGCTCCCAAAGGAAGAATTAAAATTATGTGTATTCAATAACTATTTTTAATAGATATAATTGTAAATCTAATTATTTTATATTTTTATTTAATTATTTTAATATTTTATATTATTTTAATTAATAATTTATTTATTATTTAGTAAATGTGTATATCAAAATATATAAAAAAGAATTCTTTATTAATTTTCAATAATTACATATTTGACCCAATGGGTTAAATTGAAATATAACCAAAATTATAAAATTGCAAAGGGGTCCCTGTACATAATCAAATTCTCAAAGCATATGCCCAATTTCAAAGATGAATTCCAGGTTTTCAAATCGCCGATAACGCCACCTATCTCGTCGACGAGGGTGTGGATTGAGCTACAGGAGACGTTGGACGACACCAGCGGCGAGAATCACGGCGATTTCACGGCGGCGGGCGGAGTTGTTCAATGGCGACACGCAGCGGTGGAGGGTATCTCTCTTCGGCGCCGGCGGGATGATTGTCACAGTGACGGCGGGGAGTTTGACAATCGATTTGGCTGTTGTCGGCGCCAACGGGAGGGATTGTCGCAAGGAGGACTACCGGCGGGGAGTTTGACAAACGATTTGGCCGTCGTCGGCGCCAGCGGGGGGATTGTCGCAGTGAGGAGTGCCGGCGTGTGTCGTTCCCGATGGATGCGGCGGCTTTGGGTGTTGTGTAGGCAGTTGTTGGAGGCGGGGAGATGAAGTGCATGTGGGTGCGTGTTTTTGTGCAGCAGGCGTGTGTGTGTTCTGTGTGTGTATAGTGTGTGTGAGTGTGTGAGAGATAAAGAGTGGGTGGGATGCTGAGGTGTAGTAGCCACGTGTCAGAAAACTATTGGCTGTGGGTTAGTGTTAGTTGGCATTAATTTTTAAGATGTCAAAAATACCCTTAATGAATAAATAAATGCTGAAATTTTGGTATCTGTTAGATCATCGGATCAAATGGCTACGATTTATTCTCATTTCTCGCATTAAGAGTCATTCTCACTGGTTACGATTAATTCTCATTTCTCGCATTAAGAGTCATTCTCACCGGAGCGTGACCCTATATATATATATATATATATATATATATTTTATTTCAATATCTCATTTAGTACACAGGCGTTGTACTAGTCAAACAAAAAATATTGTACTATAAGCACGGTGCAATACAACACAATCAGTATGATACGACACGATAAATATGAAAATGAAAAAAAAAATAGTTAAAGTTTAAATTGTATCATACATATTATTAAATAAAATAAATAACAGGACAGTGAAATACAGAGACATGATACCGCTATTTGCTAGTCTAGAGCATGAGCATATGATCACTAATTCACTAGGATCAAATGATGTCAAGTTCGCATTAATTAGATTTAATTGTCTCTAATTATAGGTCAACTATTATAAGGGGTCATTGATTAAGGGGTTTTGTCCGATATTTTGAGAAATCCAAGGAGGTATATGTGTAATGTGGTTTTATAGATGTCATAGGTGATGATATGGGCACCGTAACGGATCGATTCACTCCGAGAAATGGTCTAACCAAACAAGGTGAATCGACAGATCGATTGGAGGTCGGAGGAAGCAATATAGCTTAAGGAAAATCGAGCTAGATATATGATTAGACCGTCTAATAAGACAGACTAATATGAACACCCCTTATTAAGGATAAGAGGGAATATTATTTGGATAAGAAGCAAACGTAGATAGGACTACATGGCCTGACAGAATCTGGCAGTTTGGGCACCTGAGAAGTACGACCAGGTAGCTCGGGTAGCGGGACAGCCTATTCGGGCAGTCTTGGAAAAAAGGTAACACACATATATAAATGGGTGAGGTGTGAGCATCCAAACTCTACACACTTGATTGTCGGAAGCTCTACGTTGGGACTACTCTCGGCTTTGTTTTGCAGATCTTTGAACCGGACGAGGACGGATCCAAGGTTGTTAAAGCTGGTTGAGGTTGTTTTACACACCATTTGGTGTCGTCTGTGGGTCATCATTCGAAAAGCCATCAAACCACCGTTGTTCATGGCGAGTGACAATCCCTGGAGAAATTTAGAGCCCACCTTCGACGAGGCTTGGGTCTCCAAACGACCACTAGAAAAGGCCCGCCGCCGTGCTTTTCAAGATTCATCCAAATGCTGGTGATCCCGATGGCCCATCCTTCGGGTTTAGTGGATTCATCAGCAGTGGCGAAACCAGGATCCTAGCACAGGGAGGGCCCAGATTCATCTTCTTCCGGGCCTCCGACGGCATCGGAAGGGCGCTCAAAGGGCGTCCTTCCATTTCCAGCCCCTTCGATTGCCTCAACCTCTCACCAAAACCCCCAATTTTTTTTTTTTTGGGAGGGCAGCGCCACTCCGGCCCTCAATGTGGTTTCGCCACTGTTCATCAGCGACTCTTGTAGCTCCTGGAGGGCAGATCAACCAGTTTGGAAGTGGACAAGGTGTTGAGGTCGCTCTTGTGCATCCCGCATAACCAGATATGGTCCAGGATGAGTAGATGAGACCACCTACTGCAGGCCAAGAGTTTGTCACCTTGATTAAGGATGAGCTTAACAAGTTGATAGCTGAAGCCATTGTCGCGTGTGGTACACAACAACAAGTGTTAGATGCATTAACCCTCAATTTGACGACAAGAAAGGAGACAAAGGTCGAGATCTCTAGCAGTACAATTGGAAGAGCCCATCGCGACCTCGTTGTGGAAAGAATGGCCTAGCAGATACCTGAGTTACAAACAATGGTCGATGGAAAACGGGTTGGGAGAGCTCGAGGGCATCCTTTATCCCAGGTGGTCCTGGATGCAGATTTGCTGAGTGGGTTCTGATAGCTCAACATCACCTATGATGCGTCTGCAGATTCATCCCGTCATCTGAGGTTATTTGAGTGGGTTTCTTTCGTCTTTGTTGAAAATGTTATTAGGAAAAGGATTTTAAACTGGATAACGAGGTTCCTTTATTTTGCAACGAGAGAAATATTGCTGAATTCAGTCTTTCGTGCACTACCTGTTGGTGTATATACTGAAAGCTTGGCTTTATATGTTATTTATATTGAACCCGTTTGAATGAGAATCATGTTTAATTAAACAGTCTATGTTCTGTTGTTTTGCACTTAGATAAAATGGTTCATTATTGGGTGAACAGAAAATCATTTTATCAGTGACTTGCGAAACAAGAATAGTAGGTTCACAACCTAGATGGAAATGAACAACCCATTGTGAACGGTTGTAGTGTTAACCGTACAGTTGGTCTTGACTAATTAGTTACACTAGTACACTTTGTGTATTGAACGGATCCCAGAAAGGAGAAGTTCGTTTTATAGTGATCTTCGTAAACGAACTAGGCCTCGGTTAATTGTTGCGTACACTTAACCCATAAGATATAAATAGGCATGTGCATGCAGTAAATATTACTTTGATTCACTTGAGTGGTATTCAGTTTACTGGGTCAATATACTTACTGCTTTGGGTAATATTATTGTATGTACGATGTGTTGTTAGAATATTTGCGGTCACCGTGTGCGATAGTTTGATGATGTCCCCGAGATGAGCTCATGAAGGATTATTATGTTAAATCTGGCCAGTGGAATTTATTCCGACATAATAATGATGATATGAGTGGTACTAGTCTCGGTTATAAATTTCGATTAATTTAATTGTCAGTAATTAAATTAATTGATGGACATTATATCTTAAACACGAAAAGATAAATCGAGTAATTGGAGCCTCGAATATAATTCAGGAATTAAATTGGGAGTTTATTCTTTTTTTTTTTTTGACGAAACGATAGATGCAATATATACTCAAAAGGAACAACGTTCAACATGTACAGGCCAAACCCGAAATATGAAATAAAACATGAGAGGACACGCACCAACGGCGGCCTAGAACCTCAACAAAACAACTAACCAATCTAACAATCACAATCCACTGCCAACGGCCTAGATGTGAGAAGTACAACCAAAAATAAAAGGACTAACAAAAGCTAACAAGACTAACACAAACTAACAAGACTAGAACTAGAGATCAACAAACTGAAGCCAATCTTGGTGCGCCATTTTCAATGTAGTATGGACTGGAATTCTGACTTCTTGGAAAATGCATAGGTTGCGAGTCTTCCAGAGCCACCAGAGTATATACGTAGTGAGTTGGATCCTGGCTTCTGATGTCTCGGTTGAACCCACAGAGCAAATGTAATGCCACCAGCTGCTAAAGGAAGAGTTTTGAATTGGCATATAATTCCTATCTTCCTGACCAGGCTTAAGTGTGTGAATGTTGAGTATGGCATTGCTGTCATTGTCATTGTAGAGCTGCTTGACCAACCATGTTATCCATCCTTGCCCTGAGTCATTAATGAGGTCTTTGACCCATATCAAGTGCCCTCTAGCAATGTCAAGCAGTGTGGGAGTTTGTTGCAGAAGAGATGGTACCCAGTTCACATCATCAAGTCTGGTTGTGGCCCCATTCCTAATTTCAGCTGCACACCCTTTTGCAAAAATAGGGAGGACTTCCATCCAATTTGACCAAAGCCAAGAACTGTTAGAGGATTTCACAGCAGCAAATAAGGAGCAGTTTGGGAAGTACTTCTCTTTCAGAATTTGGCTAACCAAGAGCTGTGGTTGAGAATGGATTCTCCACAGTTGTTTGCAGATAAGAGCCTTGTTAAACAAATTTAGATCAATGAACCCAAGCCCTCCATTTTCTGTAGGCAGTGTGAGAAGCTTCCAAGCCTTCCAGGTTATTCCTTGAGATTGATCTTCACCGGTACTCCACCAAAATTTAGAGCAGATCTTTGAAATATTTGCACATATGGTTTTAGGGAGTAAAAAGCATGACATTGAAAAGACAGGGAGAGCTTGTAGTATAGCTTTGATAAGCACAGCCTTTCCAGCTTGTGAGAGCAGCTTTGATTTCCAATTCTGAATTCTTGATTTGACTGTGTCCAGAATGTACTGAAAAGTGTCCAGCTTTGATCTACCAATACCTAGTGGAAGGCCTAGGTATCTGGTGGATCTGTGACAAGTAATGCCTTGCAGAGTCTCACAAATTCTGGTTTGGAGATGGCTAGGAGTATTCCTGCTGAAGAACACTGAAGACTTGAGGAGGTTGACAGATTGTCCTGTGAAGAGTCTATATCTCTCAAGGATTTGCAGAAGAGCTATGGCTTGAGCATTTGAAGCTTTGCAGAACAACAGTGAGTCATCTGCAAAAAGGAGATGGGACACAGCAGGACCATTTTTGGAGATCTTCAACCCAGTAATTAGACCAGAGTTAGTGGCATGAGAGATTAGAGCTGACAACATTTCTGCAACTATGATGAAGAGATAAGGGGACAGTGGGTCCCCTTGTCTGATGCCTCTTGAGGGAAGAACATAACCACAGACAGCCCCATTGATTTTGAATGAATAAGTACAGGAAGAAATGCAGATCATTATCAGATTGACAAAGTCTTGGTGGAATCCCATATGCAGCATGATTTTTTTTATACAAATCCACTCCACCCTATCAAAGGCTTTCATAAGGTCAAGTTTGATAGCCATAAAACAATTCTTTCCTGAGTTGTGCCTATTAAGAAAATGGAAAACCTCTTGACCAATGATGACATTGTCCATCAACTGCCTGCCTTTAATGAATGCAGACTGAGAATCACTAATGCAAGCTGATAAACAATGTTGAAGT